TGGAAGGTACATGGAGAATACATCCCTACTCTTGAGTTTATAGAAATAGAAATGAAGAGCAGTAGTATAAGTATGAGCATAGTACTTTGAATGCAGAGAGAAATAGGTTATTGGGGGTGGATTTCATAAAGAAGGTGGTAGGTCAGGGTAAGTCACGAACAAAGGTTGAAATCTGAAAGGCATTCTAGGGCAAAGGAACCACAAAGATATATATGAATTTTTAAAACAATTTACAAATTGTTGTTGTTGTTGTTATGTGCCGTCGAGTTGGATTCGACTCAGTGATCCCTCCTTGGGTTTCTGAGGCAGTATCACTATGGAAGTAGATTGCCCCATCTTCCTTCTGAGGAGTGGCCCGTGGGTTTGAACCACCAGCCTTCTGGTTAACAGTCAAGTGCCTTAGGCACTATTCCTTAGAGATAACTGCCTTGGAAACCCAAGGGGAGGGGTCTCTATGAGTTGAATCAACTCAAGGGCAGTGAGTTGTTTGAGGGTTTTTTTTGTTGTTGTTGTTTATTATCTATTGTGATGATGCTTTTTTATCTGATGCAAATACCTAAAAACAATATTGATGATGGGCAGTAGTAACAAAGGCATACTGGCTTTTTCTCCAAAATTCACAAGTTCCTCTATCTAGCATGTGGGTTCTGTATGAAATGGCCAAGTATTATATTAGATTTAGCTGAAGAATTAAAAAAGGACAAAGTAAGCTGATGTTGGTAGGGCTGAATGGGGACAGATTTTAAAAGCCTTGAAATGTACATTAGAGTTAGGACTTAGGCAGCCTGTTTATAAGTGGAATGAGGGTTATTTTCTTACAGTTATGTGTACAATTGAATTTATATTAATAAGAACCACTACATCTTTGCCTTTTTATATAATTGCCACTCACTACATGTGGCTATTCAAATTTAAGTAAACTTTATTTATTTGTACTAGCCACATTTTAAATGCTCAGTAGCCACATAGGGCAAGTGGCTACCATATTGAACAGCACAGATGCAGAACATTGCCATCATTGCAGAAGTTTTGTTGGATAGCATGGTGATGTGAGAAGCTATAGAAGAAATTAAAAGTTCTAGAATAAAAACTTTTGTTTGAGTTGTGGTTTTATATGTATACGTGCTTTGTAAAAGGTACAGAAAGGCTTACACACTTTCATGGGTGTGCTTATACTTAAACTGATTGTGAAGAGGATGTTAATTTTTGGAGTATGAAAAGGACAATGGCTAGAAAACCGAGGCGGTGGCCAGTGGTGCAGTGAATTACTTGGTATGGCTTTCCTAGCCATGGTCTTTGTGGTTCCCATCAGATTGCAGGGTGGGACCATGCAAATAAAGTATATGGAATTCTAATGTGAGGATTGGTTAGTTTTGCTGTGCTGCTAGGCTTAAGAGCTCTGGTGGTGGAGTGCCTATGGTATTTGACTGCTAACCAGAAGGTTGGCGTTTCAAACCCAAACCTCCTTCCACAGAAGTAAGACTGGACAGTCTACTTCCTAAAGATTTGCCACCTCAGAAACCCAAGGGGGAGTTCACCATGAGTCAGAATCAACTTGATGGCAGTTAGTTTTGTTTTTTGGTTTGAGAGGCAGAAGAGGGGATCTCACTGCCATCAAGAGAAAAGAGCTGGAGGTAAAGTGGAGCACGTCCTTGGACCTGAGATCCCTGCACTGGACCCCCTTGGCAGAGAGATGCCTGGCTGAGAGACGGTGGCAGTGCAACCAAGAGGCGTGAGACAGAGCAGTGAGCTTTCTAGCCCATGTAGCAAGAAAGCTGAGTACCCTTTGGCAGGAGGCTTGCTGGAGGAGTGGGGTGCACCTGGTTGTACCTATCTAGAGAGCTAAAAGAGCTTTGTAACTCTTGCCGCAGCGTGGCAGAGGTCAAGGGCCAGAGAGGCGTGCCTGAGGGCATATCAGAGGGGAGATTGTTCTGATTGAAGACTTGTATCCTGAGCACATTCCTGAACTGGAATAATAGCTTGTTAACTTCCCTAATAAACCCCATAATCCTGAGTATTGTCTGTGAGTTCTATGTACTCATTGCATGAATTATCAAACCCAGCAGAGAAGTAGTGAGTGCTGGGGGAGGGACAGTTGGTGTCAGAATTGGTAAAAAGGCTGGAGGGTGGTGGCATGTCTGGCCTCTTAGGAATAAGCCTTGGGCTGTTGATGATTCTCTTTCACCCTCTAGAGGTTGGAGGAGGTCAGAAGTTGCTGTCCCCTTGCCTTTTTAGCACATTGTTGTTGTTATGTGCCCTCAGTCCGCCTGACTCATAGCGACCCCTCCCTTGGGTTTCCGAGGCAGTATCACTATGGAAGTAGATTGCCCAACCTTCCTTCTGAGGAGTGGCTGGTGGTTCAAACCCACCGGCCACTCCTCAGAAGGAAGATGGGGCAATCTACTTCCGTAGTGATACTGCCTCGGAAACCCAAGGAGGGGTCACTATGAGTCGGGTCCGACTCGACGGCACATAACAACAACAACATTTAATTAATGATTTCAGTTAAATGCTTTTATTCCACTGTAGCAATTTGTTTTGAATGTCATCGAAGTATAGGTTTAACATGGAATTAGAAGAATTTGTTATAGACTAATGTTTTTTCTAGGAGCTCTGGTAGCATAGTGACTAAGGCACTTGACTGCTAACCAGAAGGCTGGTGGTTCAAACCCACCGGCCACTCCTCAGAAGGAAGATGGGGCAATCTACTTCCGTAGTGATACTGCCTCGGAAACCCAAGGAGGGGTCACTATGAGTCGGGTCCGACTCGACGGCACATAACAACAACAACATTTAATTAATGATTTCAGTTAAATGTGCTTTTATTCCACTGTAGCAATTTGTTTTGAATGTCATCGAAGTATAGGTTTAACATGGAATTAGAAGAATTTGTTATAGACTAATGTTTTTTCTAGGAGCTCTGGTAGCATAGTGCCTACGGCACTTGACTGCTAACCAGAAGGCTGGTGGTTCAAACCAACCAGCCACTCCTCAGAAGGAAGGTTGGGCAATCTACTTCCGTAGTGGTACTGCCTTGGAAACCCAAGGAGGGGTTTCTGTGAGTCAGGTCCGACTCGATGACGCATGACAACAATGTTTTTTCTAAGGAACTCTCATGGTGTAGTGGTTAAATCGTTCGACTGCTAACCAAAAGGTTGGTGGTTCAAACCCACCAGCCGTCCTGCAAAAGAAAGATGAGGCAGTCTTCTTCCATAAAGATTTCTCAAAAACTCATAGCCATTGAGTCAGCTCTGACTCATACCGACCCCTCCTTGGGTTTCTGAGGCAGTATCACTACAGATGCGGATGCGCAGTCTTCCTTCCGAGGAGTGGCTGGTGGGTTTGAACCACCACCCCTCTGGATAGCAGTCAGATGCCTTAGGCACTATGCCACCAGAGCCCCTCGCATAAAGATTCACAGCCTCGAAAACCCTATGGGGCAGTTCTACTCTGTCCTACAGGGTTGCTGCTGTGACTTGATGGCAGTGGGCGTGGTTTGGAATGCTTTTTCTACACTATTAATTATTCTAGGATTCTCTATAACTGCTTTTTTCTTTTTAAACAACATGCAACTGATTTATATGTTGAAGTACAATTTGAGGTAATAAGTTATGGTACTGTTACAGAGAAATAATTTCAAGTAGTAATTTTTATAGGAAAATTGAATTAGAAAGGGAGTTATTGAGACTTCCATTTTACACTTCCATTTTGCACGACTGCAAAGTTGATAGAGAGATGGAATACCCAGATGGGTTATTTTCTTCCTTGAGCAGAGTTTTAATTTAGTTGTTGATTGTAAGTTAGTTATGGATTTGTTAAAATAAAGCCATGATAATGAGTGTATCTATAAAATGGAGATAATACCTGTCCTAGAGTGAAAATACACACTTTGTAAAAGTAAAACTAAGAGATGAATTGAAAGTTTGGAGATGTTCCCTACTGGGAAAACATCCAGATTCAGAGTATAACTTAGCGAGTCAGGGATAAGTCTAGGCGTATCCAGCAGAACAGTAGGGATGGCTGAAGGAAGTGCTGCAAGCCTACACTGTAGCTTCAGACACAGATACCTTTGCTGTGACTGCAAGAGAACAAAGATGTTTACGTACAGTATTAAAGGAGACTTTTCCCATGTATACTCCCAAATCATCAGTATTTGAACACCAGTTCCTGGATCCATCAACTAAATTGTCTCCAGACTACTTTGATTACCAGTTGTAAGTCACTTCTTTTTCTTAAATCTCAAATGTTATGCATACTCATGAGGTAGAGAAAGGACTGTTTATACACAAATGCACTGAAACAGTGATCTAAACAGTTAGACGGGAGAAGAAAGTTAGCATTACACTGTGTAACAAAAACCAAATTGGATAAAAGACTTACATGTTGAAAAGGAGAAAAAAAAACTCTGGTAGGAAATTTTCTCTATGCATGACAAAGGCATTTCCATAAAGGAAAAAGAAAATGTCAGTCTGAATATATCATGAACAAGATTCAAGTCAACATGTGGGGGATAAGTATGTGCAACAGGTACAACACATAGATAATAATTTAAATGTTTTAAAATAAGATTTCTAAATCAGAAGTGTATATTATTTTTTCATTAGTTGAGTCACTGCTCCTCTCCACCAAAAAAACAGAGATATTATTTTAATTAAAGTAACTACTAATCAGCACATTTCAGTAATATATCAGACAGTGTTTTACTGCTATTCATGAGGTTTTCACTGAGCAATGTTTTTGACAAGTAGATGACTCCTTCCTTCTTCCCAGTCTTAGTCTGGAAGCTCCGCTGAAACCTGTCCACCACGGGTGACCCCACTGGTATTTGAAATACTGGTGGCATAGCCTCAAGCCTCACAGCAACACACAAGCCACCATAGCATGACAAACTGACAGACAAATGGTGGGATTCACTAGTATTACTTTTAAGTTGAGGACTACTATTGAAGTATCAGTAGAAATGGTAAGACTAATTAATTTATATGTCTGTCTTTTTCAAGGACCACAACTCCAGGAGAAACAAAACTGCTGGCCTCTGAAATCTATGACATTCTTCAGTCCTGTAATATGGCAGATGGTGATAGTTTCAATGAAATGAATTCACGTCGAAGGAAAGCTCAGTTTTTTCTAGGAACTACAAACAAGCGTGCCAAAACTGTAGTTTTGCATATAGATGGTCTTGATGACACGGTAAGTGTTACATGGCGTATAAGATAGGGAAGAAAAATTGGGTTAACTAAATAGCTTCTTCAGTGTCATCTGGTAACAGTCTCAATGTAAATTCTCAATATTTTATTCTGAAAAAGAGTCATTTGTGTTAAAGGAGTCAGTTGCTCAGAGGATGTAGCTGTTTTAAGTGTTTATCTCTCTGACTACAGCTTCAAAATACATGAAGCAAAAATTGCCTGAAATGCAAAGAGATGGACTTACTTAAAATTAGAGCTGGAGATTTCAACAGTGCTCTGAATTAATAGAACAAGTATACAAAAACTCAGTAAGGATATAAAAGACTTGAATAACACTATCAACCAACTTAACCTAATTGATATTCATAGAATAGCCTGCCCAGCAACAGAATATATTCATGGTTTTTACACACATGGAATATTTATCAAGATAGATCAAATTCTAGGCCTTAAGAGGATTAAAACAATACAAAATAGTTTTTCTGAGCATAAAAGCGAATTAGAAGTCAATAATAGAAAGATAACTGGAAAATCCACCAAATATTTGGAAACTTTGTATCACACTTCTAAAAAATCCATGGGTAAATAAAGAAATCAATAAATTAGAAAGCATTTTGAACTGACTAAGATTGAAAAACATAAGCTATTAGAAATTGTGGGAGGCAGCTAAAACAGTGTTTAGACCAAAAACGTCATTAGCATTAAATGCCTTTATAGAAGGGAGGGATGGTTTGAGATCAATAACTTAAGCTTTTACCTTAAAAACTAGAAAAAGAAAAGCAAATTAACCCTAAACAGAAGAGAAGAAACAAAAGAAGAGAAGAAATCAGTGACATAGAAAAGCAAAATAATAGAGAAAAATTGCTAAAATCAGCAGTTAAAATTGATAAACCTCTGGCCACACTGATCAAAAATAAGACAAATCAAATTATCAGTGTAAAAACAGAGAGGGACTATCACTATAGATTCTACAGACATCGAAAAGATAATAAGTAAATATTTTAAATAATTTTGTACCATTAAACTTGAAAAACATAGATGGCTCAGTATCATCTTCTTTTTAATGGCCTTTTGCTGTTTTCATGTATGATGTTCGTGATGTTATCCCACAACTCATCTGGTATTTGTTCATTGGTGTTCATTGTGTCAGATATATTCTTCATATAGTCTCTAAATTCAGGTGGGATGTAATCAAGGTTGTGTTTTGGCTTTCGTGGACTTGTTTTAATTTTCTTCAGCCTCAACTTGAACATGTACATGAGCAGTTGATGGTCTTTTCCACAGTCAGCACCTGGCCTTGCTTTCACTGATGATGATATGGAGCTTCTCCATCACTTCTTTCTACAGATGTAGTTGATTTGATTCCTGTATATTCCATCTTTCAAGGTCTATGTGTATAGCTGCTGTTCATGTTGTTGAAAAAAGTATGTGCAGTGACTAAGTCACTGGTCTTGCAAAATTCTATCACTCTTATCTCTGGCATCATTTCTATCCCCAAGGCCATGTTTTCCAGCTACTGATGATTCTTTTTTGTTTGCAGCTTTCGCATTCCAGTCACCAGTAATGATCACTACATCTTGATTGCATGTCTGGTCAATTTCAGACTGTAGAAGTTGGTCAAAATCTTCAGTTGCTTCATCTTTCACTTTAGTGGTTGGTGTATAAATTTGAATAATAATAATTAATTTGTCTCTCTTGTAGTGCTTGGATATTATCCTGTCACTTCAGGATAGATCTTGAAATGTTCTTTCTGACAATGAATGTATTGCTGTTTCTCTTCAACTTATCATTCCTGGCTTTGTAGACAGTAGGATTGTCTGATTCAAAATGGCCAATGCCCACTCATTTTCAAATCAGACTCACTGCCATCGAGTCAGATCTGACTCATAGCAACCTCTCCTTGGGTTTCCCAGGTGGTATCACTGTGGAAGTAGATTGTCCAGTCTTCCTTACCAGGAGTGGCTAGTGGATTTGAACCATCAGCCTTCTGGTTAGTGGTCAAATGCCTTAGGCACTTTGCCACCAGAGCTCCTTTTGCCAGCTCACTAACAATACCTGGGATATTGATTTTTATGCATTCCATTTCATTTTTGACAACATCTAAGTTTTCTAGATTCATACTTTGTACATTCCATGTTCCATGTGTTGAGTTGTGCCACATCAGTAAATGAAGGTCCGGAAAGCTTTACTTCATCCAAGTCATTAAGGTCAACTCTACTTTGAGTATCCCCAGTCATATTTTGAGTGCCTTCCAACCTGAGGGGGCTCATCATCCAGCATTATATCACACGGTGTTTCACTGCTGTATTCAGATTTTCAATGGCTAGTTTTTTTCAGAAGTGGATGACCCCGTCCTTCTTTCAAGTCTGTCTTAGTCTGGAAGCTCTCCTAACTCCTGTGGACTGTGGGTAATCCTGTGATATTTGAAACACCAGTGGCATAGCTTCATAGTTTCTTTGAAACACCAGTCTCACAGCAACATGCAAGCCTCCACAGTATGACAAACTGACAGACAAGTGGTGGCATGAATATTAGGCTATTGAAAATATCATGGCTTAGGTCATGTGCACCTTAGTCTTCAAAGTGACATTTTGCTCTTTAACATTTTAAAGAGATCTTTTGCAGCAGTTATGACCAGGTTACTAACCCATCTCATTTATGTATTTGTCCATTTTATTGAGGTGGATAAATTCTAATATGTTGACATGTGATTGTTAATTGTATTTCCTTATAATACTTATTTTAAGCTTTTTCGGTTGTTTCATGGATTAACATACGAACATCCTGGAGAATGTTCTTTGCATATTACTTCATAAGTGTGCATATTCTAGTATATTCTAATGTTAAGTGGAATGTTATATATGTTTGTTAGATTTAATTGATTTCTATTGTTGTTCAAGTCTTTTTCTTTGCTGATTTTCTGTGTAGTTGTTCTGTCCATTATTGAAAGTTGGGAATTGAAGTCTCCAACTCTTAGAGTTTTTCCCTATCTGGAAAAGTCTTGGAGGAAAAAAAAAAACAACCTTGAAAAAGTATTTTTGGAAGATATTTTCACTGGGTATAGAATTGTAGGTGACAGATTTTTTCTTTTTTCTTTTCATACTTTAAGATGTTGCCCCACTGTTTCTAGCTTACATTGTTTCTAAGTAGAAATCTACCATCAATCTTATTTTTTTCCCCTGTATGTAATGTCACATATTTCCCTTTCTGGCTGCTTTTAAGATTTTCTCTTTATCACTGATTTTTTTTTTTTTAATTATGGTTTGGGTGAAAATTTACAGAGCAAATTCACTTTCCATACAGCAGTTCACATACACTTTGTCTCATGACATTGACTACAATTTACCCCAGTGCAACAGCTCCCCTCCCACTTCCTCCCAATAGTTACCTCTTCCCTGTGTCCATCCATCCATGCACTCCTGTCCCCTGAGCTGTCACCCTGTGCATAAGCAACCCTTCTTTCTCCCATGATTGTTCTCTTCAAGGAGTCTATCTACCTCAGGTATATGTTTAACTCATATGCCTGTCTTTTGTTTGGCTGGAAGCCACAGGTGTAGGTTCAATACCAGACCTGAAGGGGCAGCTAGGGGCCACAGTGTCAGTGGTTCTACCAGGCTGTATCAGACCAGCAAACCTGGTTCCCCTCCCCCCTTTTTTATTTTCAAATGATATTGAGTTATGTTCCACATTGTTCTCCCTCTCTATCCAGGATCTCCTACTTAGATCCCCCTCCGAGTGGTAGTCAGGCACCATACGGTTCTTCTGGTTCCATAATCTTATAGGCTGAGAATCTCGTGGTTTACACTGATTTTGATCAGTTTGTTTATGATAAGCATTGATGTAATTTTCTTCATGTTTATTTTATTTCAGATTCATTTAGCTTCTTGGATCTCTGGGTTTATAGTTAGTAACAGATGGATAATTTTCATCTATTACCTTTCAGATTCTGCCCCTCCCCCACTCTCCAGTTCTGTAGGTATTTCACTTACTCCACTTATGTGTATATTTAACCACCAGAAGTTGCCTCACAACTCACTGAGGCTCTGTTACTTCATTTTCAGTATTTCTGTTGCATTTTGAATGGTTTTTGTTGCTATATTTGGTGTATTTTTCTTAAAGTTTTTAATTTATTGTTAATCTCATCCAGTGTATTTTTCAGCACAGACATTGTTTTATTACATCTCTACAAGTTAGAGTTAGGTCTTTTTGATCTCTTTAACATGCTTGTGCTTTTCTTTATCTGTTTTAAACATTCAGAATATTGTTAGAATATTAGTTCAATGTCCTCGACTTTTAATTCAGTCACCTTTGTTATTTATAGGTGTGGCTCTGTTAATTTATTTTTAATTATAGTTGTTATTTTCCTTCTTTGCATACATGGTAATTTTTGATTGAATGTCTGGCATTGTTTACCTTTTTTGGTCAGTATGTGGTGTCTTTAAATAATCTCTTTTATTTTATTTTTATAACTCTTTACCATGGTTTGGGTGAAAGTTTACAGAGCAAATTCGTTTTCCCATCAATAATTTATGCATAAATTTTAAATAATACTAAGCTTTGTTCTGGATTGCAGTTACTTGTAAACAGTTCAGTCCTTTCTAGTATTGCTTTCAAGCTTTGTTAGGCAAAAACAGAGCAGACTTTAGCCTAGGGATGCCTTTTCTACACTATTGAGGCAGTATATATACCCTTTCCAAAGTCTGTGTGAGCTTACAGAACTATTCTTTTATTCCTTTTCTGTGATTGTATTTTCAACCTCATGTAATTTCCTCACATGCATCTACTCAGTACTCAGTACTCAGTTGAAGACTTGAGGGGAATCACTACAGATCTCTGGAATGCATTTGTTCTGTGTAGTCCTTGCCTTTTCATTTAGCTCTTCCTTTGCCTGTTCTCTGCCCTGTGAATTGTAACTGAATTTGCAGGATTTCCCTGAGTTTTCACCTCTGTGTCTTCAATTCAGGGAGACTGCTGGCTTCTGCTTGGGTTCTCTCTTTTACACTG